TCGTTGCCATAGCTTCTTTTACGGATAGCTCCCACTATTTCACTATCGTGAATAGTTCTCTGGAACCTTCAAAGAATGGGTAATAACTTCTTATTTTCTTATGTTGGAGGATCCACCTTTTAGTGGCAACCACAAAGACAATAAGCAGATATTACACACTCTAATCTAGCTCTGATACCAATTGTTGCGAAAGACGGCTATCGGATAGAGCAAAATCGTAACTGATAATTTGAGAAAATAAAAATGAAGATAAAAGAGACACAAAATTTACGTGGAAAACCCTGAATAATATAGGGTAAAAACCACGGGCAACGGTAGAAGAATTTCACTATGAGAAAATAGGAATTACAACTTCTCTCAATCGACTAAGGAGAAAACAATGATAATTCTCTCTTGATAAAAAGGAGAAAACAACTCTCAAGAAACTCTCTAAATTCTCTCTAGTATTGGAAGAAAGCTGGAATGCTTTGGGATGGTTTTGAAGTTAAATGGGATAGGGTATTTATAGCTAAATCTTAAGGACTTAATCTTGTAAATACCCTAAAGTTTAATGACTAAAGTTTGTAATTTGACCATATAAAAATCAACAAAATTGGCTTTTAATATTTTTTTTCAAAGCCATCGGCTTCTAACTAGCAGCCCATGTGGTTTTTGATTTTTCAACAGATGCATCTCAAAAGCTCGACATTCTAACTATTCCCTTAATTACCTAATTTTTTTGGGTCAATTTTATTCGAATAACAAGAAAATCATAGGTTTAATACTAATCATAATATTCTCTTTTGATTTCTTTCCATATCACATGTAATCTACTATCAATGGAATATATTGATAGGATTGATTTAATTTCCTTAAATATGAGGATTATGTATATATGCTTTAATCTTAGTTGTCGATGTAAATTATTTAGACTGTTGGATTTAAGGAGGCTCAGCTATAAATAGATACATTTTCCATCTCGTTAGGGGGAAGAGAATTTATTTTTTACTTTGGAGTAATAAGGAGAAGAGGAAAAAAGCAGAGTCACTCGAAAATTGTAATTTGAAGAATAAAAGCAATAAAAGAGAAATTTCATTTAAAGGTATTTTTTTTTTATTTATTTCTCTTGTGTTCTTGTCTTTTTTATCAATCTCAACTTTTCTTTTTCAAAAACAATGTTGGAAGAGAGCCGATAAACAAGGAAAAATGTTTTCGAATAGATTTTTTTAAATCTAGCTTCTAGCATTCCTTGAGGTTTTTTAGTGAAAACCAATGTTTCCCTTTTATTTTATTTTATATTTTCAACTTTATATTTATTTGCTTATGTGCTTATTATTTCCTTGCCTTTGATCTTGCTTTTATTCGAAAATTTCATCGGAGGAGAGATTGTCGAAGAACGGGGATAAGGTTTTCAAAGAGATATTTTTAGATCTAACATTTCCCCATACCATTCCATGAAGACCGACTATGGATCTTTAAATATATATTTCCTTGTTAGTTTAATGCATTTTAGTTTTTTCCTTTTTCTATCGACCCGCTTAATTTTTTAACTTTTTTAAATTAGGGTAGATTTTTTTTCTTAATTTTAATTTTTTTTCTCTTAGTTTGGTTTATTTTAAAGTTTCTTGATTTATACCAATTTCCTTATTTTATTTCTTGTTTAGTAAAACTTTATTCCAATTTGATTTTGTTTCCCCTTTTCATTTCATTTTTTCCTTTACATTTATAATCTATGTATTTATTTATTCCATTTGACTTTTAATTTTTAATTTTTATTTCTTTAATTTCTGATATTTGAATGGATGGCTTTTAATTATTACAGCTTATTTATTTCATTTGCAATTTGTAACCTGTTCCATTGTAGTCACTAATTAAGTTTCATGTTCAAGGCTGGTATGTTCGGTTTTTAATTTAGTCATTGTTAGTGTATTAAAGTATATGTGTATTACTTATATTGTGTATTTGTATAATAGACAATATTTATTTATTACTTCGTCTATGTTAGGTATATAAATTTTTAATTAATATTTATTGAAGTATGTTAATTGACTTTCATGAAATTTTAATTAATTATGCATGATAATCTCAAAAGACTAACTCGACTTTTACCACAACTGAATTTAAAAGATAATATTTGGTTATTTAAAATTATCGAAAAGGGTTGTCCTGACCCAACTAGTAGTCCGATTATGGTAGTTTAAAATAATCAGATATCTTCGGTGAAACTAAACAAAATTGATAACACATTAAAATTTTAATCAAGAGTATGGAAAATGAAATATTCTCTTATTTAAATTTATTGAGGAAAAGTCGCTTGATTCTATTTGAGGGTTTGATCTCAATATTTATAAATAATTGAATATTCTTTATCTATATTAAATAGATGAGTAATTTTAATTAATTTGCTTGCATTTTATTCCATATTCTAAATGTGAATAAAATCAATGTTAAATCCTAAGGAAAATTCCATTGTGTCTTATTTCGTTTTGAGAATGAGAAAATACCGCTCCGTTTCAAATTAGAGGGTATTTTTCCTCTATCCGAAATGTTGAAATACATTCTGTTCACATTAGAAACCTTAAGTTCTTGAAAAGAAATATTGGTGATTCACCACTTTTATAAATCATGTCGGATAGACAATATGTTGGGTATGATTTAGTTCTTACTATTTTTTCTTTTGTACTAACCATTTGTTTTGTCTTCTTCTGTTTCTTTTCTTATTACTTGCATTTTTATATGCATTACATGGTTCAAAGCTGTTAGCTCTTGAGTGATTGACCAAATTAAAAGGTTTTCATAATGAAGTAAGAGTTTCTCAATCGAGTAATCAAATTTTAGATGCTTAATGATGCTTTGAGGATCCACGGAGAAAGACAACCAATGAAAGAAGGAACTCAAAGTCAATTGAAGACTACCTTCAAATACATAAAGACCAAAAGCTCTCATGGAGTCGAGCATTAGGATGAGAGCAACAACGATTCCAAGTGGAGCATCAACCATACTCGTAAAATTTGACTACCTGGTGCAATAAAACCTTGTGTTCTAACGAAGGTTGTTCTATGATGGTCACTTTAGAGTTAGCACCATTTACATTTGCATTTGTATCTATGCATTTTACATTTTCATTTTAACATTTTTGCTTTTGTTTTTGCTTTGTATATAGTCAAGCATTTTTTACATACATCATGAACATATGTAACAATTAGTGGAAGATTCTATGGTTGAAAATCTAGAAAATCACTCTTATGGATGCCATGAATGACATGATAGCGCAGATAAGTAGAATTGAGAGGCTTTAATACATCTGGTCAGAATGCAAGAAGATTTGAATGATCAAATGAGCAAGTTTTGAGATGAGATAAAGGGGTAATTATCTTAATTAATGAGCATGACAGCTGTGATGGTGGACCGAAAGAAGCTGGTAGAAGAGTCTGTTGCACAAGTTCAAGAGAAAGTCAGAATCCCAACTTTGTGATTTAATGAGGCACTATTAAATGATCAAGAGTCCCTCAAAAGATCTTCCTTGAAGAGAATGGGAAATAAAGCCAATGACTTAAGGGCTTTTAAGGGCGTCGATGTCTTTTAATCCAAAATAAACATCAAAAAATGAGAAATGACAATTTGACCCGATCCCTATGAAATACAAAGAATTGTACCATCAACTCTTTGACGCATACGTGGTATCCCTATTCTATGTAGTGCCAATGCAAACCATAACCCCACGTGGTATGATAAAAATGTTAAATGTGAGTACCACATTAGTACTATCGGACATTCTATCGAGAATTGTACCACCTTCAAGAAGATTGTTCAAAAACTTCGAGGTAAGAATGTCATATAGTTCGATGATCTCAAACAACCTAGTGTTACTTGGAACCGATTGTAAGAAATCTTTAAAATTATCCATTTTAGTCCCTTATTTATATTAAATCAATTAAATTTGTTTTAAAATAAAATTTGGGTATGACATAAATTTTCATTTTTCCAAAACCATACCTAATATTTTATTTTTGTTTCATTTTAGTATCTGTCGTTAAAAACTAAACGTGTTTAGTACCTAAACTTTCAAAAACAAAATTCAAAGCTTAAGTATGGTTTTGTTACTAAGCATGTTTTGGTTCTAAACTTTCAATTTTTTCAACACTTGAGTTTTGGTACTAAAAATGAATCAAAAACTATACATTAGGTATGGTTTTGAAAAAAATTGAAAGTTTAAGTACAAAACGGATTAAAATTGATACTTTATGTACTAAATGTGTAGTTTACCCTAATTAATTTTTCTTAAAAGATATAGTTAATATAAGGCTTAATATAAAAATAAATGTTCAAATTATATGTTTTTCCCAAAGTGGTGCCCAAAATTTTTCTGTCAATGTAAGTGTCTAACACTACAAATATTACCATTTAGGTGTCTGGGTCATTACAGCCATTAAAATATCTCGTTAAATAACACGTGTCATGTTCCGATAATTTTGTGAAACATCCATAAAGTCTGACAATCAAATCAACAACAAACTCAAGATAGTATCTTAATTCTTTAAATATCCCATTTAACAAAATATAGTACAAGGAAAAGGAAAAGCTCGTGACAAATTTATTTTATAGTATAACACTCAGCTTTGAGAGTATTTTGGATGCAAGAGAATGACATTACATATGGTTTTTACAAACGTATGAAATAACAAGCACATAACTAATAACACATGACAATATATGCATGTTTAATATATTATTGGGTAAGCTACACTAGATACCACTGTACTTTCAATTTTGTCAATTATAACACTGAATTTTATTTTTCACTTCAGTTATACCATTGGGTCGTTAAATCATTAACAGTCGGATCAAAACAATGTAATTTGGCGAGGTGTCTACGTAAACAGTCGTCAGCCATGTCAACGTCCGACGGACACGTCATCGTGTTGTTCACAATTTAACGGTTTAGTGGTATAAATGAAACGAAAATCAAAGTTTATTGCTATAATTGGAAAATTAAAAGTTTAGTGGTATAAAAATACAACGCCTGAAACTCGTTGGTATCTGATAGTTTACCATAGATTATTTTATGTAAAATATACTAATCAAGTCCTAACTGCATGCTTTAAAAGACCCGGGATATGAATATTCATGATGTAATCTTCCCAGTCGATATATTTGGAATCGAAGTTAAATTTAGCAACATCAATGCCTCTCTCTTCAGCCACCCTTTGTAACTCCTCTAAGTTGCTGCAGTCAAAGCTGTTTGGGAGAGAAAAAAACATTTAAAAAAAATTGGAATATGTTGAAATTCCAACCTAGATTTGCATATACCAAAAGAAAGCAAGTTGTTAAATTGAAGGGTAAAGTACAAAAGATACCATCATAATTTTGGCGTTGTATCCTTTATACCATTGAACTTTCAATTTTGTAAATTATAGCATTGAACTTTGATTTTCATTTTAATTATATCACTGGACCGTTAAATCGTTAACAATCATATCAAAATGACTTCATTTTGGTGAGGTGTCTACGTCAACATCCTCTAGCCGCGTCGATAGTCATCAGCCACATCACCGTATCGTCAACGATTTAACGATTCAGTTGTATAATTGAAACGGAAATCAAAATTTAGTGTTATAATTGGCAAAATTGAAAATTCATGATTATAAATGATACAATGACTAAAGTTTAATGGTATATGATGTAGTTTACCCTAAATTGAATAAAGAAAAAAGAGTTACAAAATAAACACTTACATTCCTGCAAAGAACGCATAGGGTTTGTAAAATTGAGCCAATCGAATTACAGACTTGACTTTACGATCAAGTTTTGTATGTGTTTCCTTGGAACGTTGACAACTAAGTTTATTCATTAAATACAGCACCTGAATTTTAAGAATAATAGCATGTGAAAGGAGTTAAAGGTTATAGTGACGAAGCTAACAATTTGATGCAAAAATAAAAGACTTAAAAGGACTATTTTTGTCCTTGTCGTAGATCTAATTTATCACTTTTACCCCTGTAGTATTTTTCACATCAATTTAGCCATCGAACTTGTTTAGGGCTATCATCTTAACCCTCGAAGTCCATTTACTGTTTTGACTAACAGAATTGTGAGTCTTATGCGTTTGTGGATTAATGGATTAAGGGATTAGGTTAAAATAAACACTAGAAAATTTTCAAAATTTTATTATTTATTTCAGTGAGATTAGTTTAAAATTTTAGGATTTTTTCTATCCATGTGTTTAGTAAATATTTTAGTATTTATTTTTTAAATAAATGTCACATTAGTAATATTGGCTGATATAGAAATTGTTGGTGTCCACAGACACAGAAGATTATCGGTTATGTTAGTCAAAACGGACTTGGAGGGCTAGGATGATACCTCTAAACAACTTCAAGACCTAAATTGATGCGAAAATACCATAAAAGTGAAAATGATAAATTGGGAAAGTAACCCTTGAGCCAAAACAAAACTAAGAACAACAAACCTTGAGTGGAAGCACGTATTTGACTCGCATGTATAGAAAAAACTTATCAGCTTTGTCAAACACGGTTGGTTTGCCAACTTTCACTTTCTTTCCGTTTCTATCGGTGCATGGATTTTTAGAGAAATAACAATACGCAAACTTGCGAAGATCTGAGTATCTCAATGGGTTCCTAAAGGAGGAGCTGACATGGTAAATGGTTTCACTAGAAGTTTGATTATCTGCAAAATGAACTTCCATAGCCACAAGCATGGCATTTACCACCATATCTACTGGTACCTGCATATATATAAGTTACAAATTCATTTTTATGTTTCTATGGCATTAATTATTGAGAAATAATAATAAGGGTAAAGTACACAAATGTCCCCCGATTATAGGATACTGTTTTATTGAGTCCCTCGACTATTAAAAGTTACAAAATAATCCCCCGATTATAGGGAGTTTAATTGTTAGGTCACTCGACCATTAAAAGTTACAATATGCTCAACGATTATTCATTATGTTCCAAACTCGTCCTTTCCTGTTAAAAATGACGACGATCTGAGTTGGATGTTAATCTGTTGATTGAGAAATAATCAAATTTGATATCATAATCTCAAACGACTATCATATCTCAGTCAGCTTGTTAACGTCCAACGCAGATGATCATTAACTTTTTAACGAAAAATGATGAGTTTGGAACATAATAATCAAGTGACATTTTGTAACTTTAAATAATCAAGGGACTCAACAAAGCGATTCCCTATAGTCGAGGGATTATTTTGTAACTTTTAATAGTCAATGGACTCAATAAAGTAGTTCCCTATAATCGGTAAACCATGTGTATGCTTTGCCCTGATAATAAAAAAAATCTCACCAGATCAAGGGGAGAGCTAGGGTTTCCCAGAAAACATGAAATCGTTCCTTGTCCATATCTGACAACAATGCTATCGAAGGTTCTACATAGAGCAACATAAGATATATTGGAAAAAGAAAACATAACTTTCATTGGTAATAATAATTTGAATTTAGCTTGAGTGTGATGGAGGGATTAATTATCTTAATCTCGGATAGCATGTCTGTTTTGTTCAATTGTCGCTTTAATAGGTGTTTGCCCTCTTATTCAGTTGCCAATGTTGTTTCTGTTTTCTAGTTGTGTTGTACTCTTTTCCGCCATATAGGTTTAGGGAGGTTTTTAATGAGGCACGTAACTTAGATTTTGGGATTTTTCTCTTATAATCTTAATAAAATCAAATTTGCCGAGAAAAAAAAATTGAATTTGAATGTGCTAATACCTAATGCCTTCAATCCACCCAGGGAAAGGTTGTTTATAAGTACTTGAGATCATGCTGGGGCGTATAACAACAAGAGGAACATCTCCTTTGAATTTCCCTAAAAGCATCTCGCCCATTGCCTTTGTAAACACGTATGTATTTGGCCACCCATTTGATTTGGCCCTGCATCAATATAAGTACTATTTTTAAAATATATTCATGTATTAGTTATGAATCAAGGTGGTAAATATATAGGATGAAACCTTGTGAAGCCAAGTTCCTTCATTGCTCTTGTTATTGTTTCATTTGGGCTACACTGTTGTCGTAATTGATCTAATTTTTCCTCCATAATTCTCTTCTCATCAAAGATGTCTAAATTGCTTGTTTGTCTCAACGTCTCACCCATATAGAACGGTTTCTCTGATATCATTCCTGCCTGTTCACCGCACACATAAGCTGAGGACAAAAAATATGTGTCAGATTTTAATTTTTAAAGTATTCTCCAACATCTTTTCCTATTTTATCACTAAAATATAATTTTTTTTCCTCAGCAAATATACTTTTATTTGTTAAGCATAAAAGCGCTTAATCATGAATTGTGAGTCTTGTTAAAAACCTCCCTAATTCTAATTGGAAGAAAAGAATACAACACAATCGGACAATAAAGCTACAAATTAAACATTAAAAAGTTCATATTTTATAGTTACCTGTTGATACGTGAATAAATAATTTTAGTTTATCACATTTCTTTCCAAAGTTCAAAACATTGAAAGTTCCAAATGTATTGATGTCCAAAGCAACGTCGTACCTTTAATAAAAATATAATAAAAGATTAGCAAAAGAAAACTAAACAAAATTTATTTATATTTGAATCATAATTCAACGTTACCTTTCACTGAAGCTAGTTGTGGCAGCAACATTTACTATGATTTCTATTTCATTTTGGATTTCTTCTCGTAATATAAAATCTTTCACTCCCAAATTTTCAAAAGATATATCACCGGCTATGGCTATCACTTTACTTGATATGAATCGATCGAATTTCGAACCCCAAGTCTCGTGAAGAACCCTAAACAATTCAGTGCTTATGACCTATTTACAAATTAATTTTTGTTATAAATATAAATATATAAATTTGAAAATATTGATTAAACAAAAATAAATGTAGATTTTTTTACCTCATCATACAAGCGTTGTATGGCAGATTTGTCATCCGAGGCTCTCATAATAAGATAAAGCTTATTCACATTTGGTTGATGCCTTAGTATTTCCTCGATAAAGACTGAAACCCATGATTGAAATTTTTTTAAATATTAATTGTACCTTCATTAAATTATTTATTGGCTTAGCAAACCGAGAGTATGTACAGTGGCAGAAGTTGGTAATAGAATTTGGAAGACCAACTTAAAACTTTAAATTATTCAGAGGTTTATATTAAAGTTTTTAAAATATTTGAAGAGTTTAGTTTACTTTTTTTTTCCAAAAATTAGGGTCTAATTAAAAATTTTAAAATTTTTAGAGGCTTAATGAGAAATTTTTTAAATTATGGGAGGGGTTTAATTAAGAACATTAAAAAAATTTAATTTTAATTTGAACTTTTAAATATTTTTGGGGAGGCCAAATTAAATTTTTGAAAATTTTAAAAGTATAAATTATAATTTTTTAATTATATGGGGGAGGTATGACCCTCACTAGTCCCTCTTATGTTCCGGCACTGAATATTGAGTATGTTCCTTGAGTATGTACCTTTGGCCAAAAATCCAGTTGCACCAGTGATTAGTATGGTCTTGCCTTGAAGAAACTTGGCGACATGATCCAACTCCGTCTCTGTATACATGTTTAACAACAACAAAACATAGGAGAACAACTCACAAACAATAAAACATGCTGATATATAAAGATAAAATCAAAATTGACATAAACTGAAGTTGTAAATAAATCGAATTAGACATAAAAAATAAAGATAAATAATAAAAATACGAAACAAATTCAGTACACAATCACAGACCTGGAATCTGGAATTCCTCGTCTTCCCTTATCTTTCCTTCCATTTTCGGGTTGATCTTAAAGATTTTTGAATTCCCTTGATATACAAATCTATAGTGGGCTAGGATCGAAGTTCTTTTATGAGAAAGTAATGTGCTGTTTTTCTCTTCGTGTTTCATGCAATGATTCTTTGAGTTTTGAATGGTATTTATAGGGGAGAATTTGCAAATGTAGTGATCATGATTCATGCATGCTGTTGGAAAACACATTACGTATACATGGCGAGCGGTCAAAACAAATTTTTAACTCTAATACCTCACTACACCAAATTAAATTAAATTAACCTCTTTTTATATATCATATTTATTTCAACAACAGCAATGGTTTATTTTTTAATTTAATAAATATAATGTTATATTATTTTTGTTGTTCTCTCAATTCTACGGTTTCACTATGACTAATCCAGACCGATCCATGTTGCCAGGAACAGAGCTATGTTGAGGCCTAAAGAGGTCCTAGCCCCTGGAAAAAATTTATATATTCGATAGATTTTGGCCTAATAGTATTTCGGTTTATGTAAAAACAAGTATTTAATAAAAAATGAAACAATTTATTAAATATTTAATCACATAGGGGTCGAACTAAAGAAGGATAATCGTATGTTCTCAAATTTTTTGGTCTAATAACAATTTAGGTTATTATAAGTTTAAATATTAGAAAAATTAGGTATTTTCTTATGAATTTTAATTTTAAATACCTAATAAGTCATTGTATTTTTTTTTAAATTTCAATATTTCGATCCCTACAAAAATTTAATCCTACATTCGCCACTGTATCTCGCACACCTGGTTTTAGTAAGTGTCTTCTAATAGAGATTTTTTTGCATACACAATAACTTGAACTTAATACATGCTTAAGTAATATCAAATTGCTTACCACTTGAATCATTATAACAAAATTAGAGAATTATCGTATATATTTATAAATTATCATTAAATCTTATAATTGTTCTGAAAAATACTCAATCTTTACAAAATATTTCTTTTATATATTAAAATTATTAAAAACTATATATATAAAAATTAAATTAATATTTTCTTGTTATAAATTATATATATATATATAATTTGAATTGTCATACTAAACTTATAAATATATAAATTAATTTTCTTTTTTAAATAATTGGTTTTTCCTCGAAATAATCATTACCCGACACAATTGAAGTCAATATCCCCACCACGTGCTCTGTTTTGTAGTTCCTAAAACAAATTAATGTCGTAAGCTTCACTACTTGTCATAGATCATTGACGTAGAAAAAATAACAACAGAAAGGAAAAATATCACAAATAAACAAAATAAGAATCTAATCTAAGCCAAATTTCCACTCGTTTAATTTTCCAAAAACAATTAGAATAGTAGAAAAATAGTGGGAATAATAGTCTAATATTATTATAATTGGTCCTATACGTTAAATTGTGTCCACAATTCATCGTTATTAGTACGATTTTGCTTCGTATTGTTATTTTCTAAAATAACGATTCTGCTTCATCATTAAATTTATTAAATATTTAAGAAACAAAATAAGAATCTAATTCGAGCCCAATTTCCACTCGTTTAATCTTCCAAAATCAATTAGAATAATAGAAAAATTACGGAAATAATGGTATAATATTATTATAATTGGTCTCTATACGTTAAATTATGGCCACAATTCATTAATATTGGTACGACTCTGCTTCATATTGTTATTTTCTAAAATAAAAATTCTGCTTCATCGTTAAATTTATTAAATATTTAATAAACAAAATAATAATCTAATCTGAGCCCAATTTCCACTCGTTTAATTTTTCAAAAGCAATTATAATAGTAGAATAATAGCGGGAATAATGATCTAATATTATTATAATTGGTCCTATACGTTAAATTGTGGCAACAATTCATTGTTATTGGTACGATTATGCTTCATATTGTTATTTTTTAAAATAACAGTTTCGGATTAGGCTTTTATTTTTTATTTTATTTTTTGAAAGTTGATACTTTGTATTAAGATGAGTAACAAAGTACACCACCTCAAGACCTCATTAAAAAACCTCCCTAATCCTAAATGGAGGAAAAAGAGTATACATTGTGGTGGTAAATAACAAACACACATAAAATTGTAACATCAGTCGGGCCAAACCCACGGCCAACCACAAACCCGAAAACCCCTAACCAACACATAGAAAAATCAACACAGACAACCAACAGTAAGAATAGAAGACACACTGAGAAATATACTCCTACAGCAAACCAGAGGAAATAACCTTACCACCAGAACAACCAGCACCGACCCCCTGAGCTTGACCAGAGGCACACCACTTAGAAATGGATACTCACTTGCAGAAGGCTCGGACAAGGACCGGAACACACTACCATGGATCGAGTACTTCTCAATACTGACCATCTTACCCAAACAGGAAACCACACAAACTTTAGATCCCAGAAAAAAGAGAACACCAAACTCACAAGCACCCTAATCCTAGTAGCTCCAAACTGAACATCCAAAAAAACTCGAAAAAGTTCCAACCGACATCCTTCAACTCTACCTCGAAACGCAAAAACTATTACAAATGGAACTTCTAGAAACCAATAGCTACTGGAAACAGACAGGGGGCAAGCCATTATGGGATGTCTCTCTAATAAATAATAAAACCAGCAAAATCGATGCAAACATCCACCCACAGATAAAGGTCCCAACCAAAACAGTATGGGCACAACGAATAAACAATCTTCGACAACTTCCTATTTCCCACACAAGGAATAACATGTGGGAATCTGAATGTCAGAGCACCTACATCACACCACTTGCTTAATGCAACAATGAAACTATCTTTAGTAAAGACTATAGCAGCAGACCCCTCCTGTAACCTAGAAGACAAACCATCACCATCAGCAGCTGAGAACACCGCTCCACCACCAACCCAAGAGCCAACACTACACTCTCCATCTTCTGCATTAAGCTCCGAAAGAAAAAATGGAAAAACCCTTCCCTTTAATATAAGGAAGCAATGCACTGGAACCACCATAGCCCACTGCTCTACCAGAAGCAATCTGACTTCAACAAAACAGACACTAAAACTTGATTTATCACGTATAGAAAGGACAGAACCCACAAGATCCCTGATCACACTAACAATGGAATAACCCGTATTTACTTTTTGATTCTCAGCTCAAAACCTGATAAAAAAGAAACCAGATTCGAAACCAGATAACTCTACTGCTCCATCACGCCATACGCTCCAAAGCCCCATTAAATTAACCTCTTTTCATATATCATATTTATTTCAACAACAACAATGGTTTTATTTTTTAATTTAATAAATATAATGTTATATTGTTTTTGTTGTTCTCTCAATTCTAGGGTTTCACTATGACTAATCCGGACCGATCCATGTCTCCAGGAACAGAGCTATGTTGAGGCCTAAAGGGGTCCTAGCCCCTGGAAAACTTTTATATATTTGATAGATTTTGGTCTAATAGTATTTCAGTTAATGTAAAATCAAGTATTCAATTAAAAAAATGCAACAATTTATTAAATATTTAATCACGTAGGGGTCGAACTAAAGAAGGATAATTGTATGTTCTCAAATTTTTTGGTCTTATAACAATTTAGGTTATTATAAGTTTAAATATTAGAAAAATTAGGTATTTTCTTATGAATTTTGATTTTAAATACATAATAAGTCATTGTATTATTTTTTTAAATTTCAATATTTCGATCCTACAAAAATTTAATCCTACATCCGCCACTGTATGTCGCACTCCTGGTTTTGGTAAGTGTCTTCCAATAGAGATTTTTTGCATACACAAGAACTTGAAGTTAATACATACTTAAGTGATATCAAGTTGCTTACCACTTGAACCATTATAACAAAATTAGAGAATTATCCTATATATTTATAAATTATCATTAAATCTTATAATTGTTTTGAAAAATACTCAATCTTTACAAAATATTTCTTTTATATATTAAAATTATTAAAAACTATATATATAAAATTAAATTAATATTTATTTTTATAAATTATATATATATATATATATATATATATATATATATATAATTTGAATTGTCATACTAAACTTATAAATATATAAATTAATTTTCTTTTTTAAATAATTGGCTTTTCCTCGAAATAATCATTACCCGACACAATTGAAGTCAATATCCCACCACGTGCTCTGTTTTGTAGTTCCTAAAACAAATTAATGTCGTAAGCTTCACAACTTGTCATAGATCATTGACGTAGAAAAAATAACAACAGAAAGGAAAAATATCACAAAGAAACAAAATAAGAATCTAATCTAAGCCAAATTTCCACTCGTTTAATTTTCCAAATATAATTAGAATAGTAGAAAAATAGCGGGAATAATAGTCTAATATTATTATAATTGGTCCTATACGTTAAATTGTGGCAACAATTCATTGTTATTGGTACGATTATGCTTCATATTGTTATTTTTTAAAAGAGAAAATAATTTCAGTGAATAAAAATGTCTTATAATATACGAATTTAATCAACTTTTTTATGATTTGCCAAAATGACCAACAAATTCGTAACGCGAACTCCAATTTCGCAACCCAGTTTCTAATTTCGCAACGCGAATTTGTAAATCGCAACACAGAAGTCAAATTCGCAACGCGATTGTCAAATTCGCAACGCGATAGTCAAATTCGCAACGCGGAATTTCAAATTCGCAACTGAATTTCAAATTCGCAACATGTTTTAGTTTCGCAACACAAATGTTTTGGGTATATAACAACGCAGCAGCAACAACTCATAACCTAAATCCCTAAATCACAACTCATTCCATCTCCATCTATCACTCTCTCCGACGACATCCGTTCCTATATCCAACGACATCTTTCCCCATCTCTAATTTTTTTTACATAATTTTATTTCTATATAATTTTTCAATGATTTCTCTCCCAAATTATCAACTATCAACTTAATAAAGGTATGTTTTTCTCTAAGTTAGTGATGATATCTAGTTTATAGCTCGTTTGTTTAGTAAATTAATTTACAATTTGTAGAATGAAATCATCTAATGTTGATCATGTTTGGATAGATTTGTGTTCTGGAGGTCATGGGAGAATGTTCATGGTGTTTTACAATATGTGCCTTAA